ATCACAGGCACTTAGAGACTTGAGACTTGTATCAGTCGTGGCTTGGAATGGAGGCTCTAGGGGAACTGGAGCTAACTTTGATGAAAATGCAGGTGACGGAAGAGGCACTCCGCTATAGGCTCGGTGTGATAAATTACAAGCGAAGGATGAAGTAGAGGCTTCGGTATTATACTCTGAATAAAGCGGATATCGAGATACGGGATTCAAGCCCCCACTGGCGTATACGGGCATCAAGAGGTTGTTAGATGAAGATTGACCCGGGGTATGGGAAAGGTGCTGATAAAGAAATGGATGAATAGCCCACCCCTCATCAATACAACTAGATGAAATGCAGGGGGGAAAAGATATATTCTGAATACCCGAAGGAAAGGTGGTCTCAGAAATTACATCCTGAGGACACAACACAAAGCCACTTCCGACAGAGCCCAGGATATCATTTACACTTCCTCCTCTAGTGGCCGAATCATGTCGAATCAATACGCTAGAGGCTGAATGGTGAGACAAAGTTTGCCTGAAGCCGAGCTGATTCGAATGACTAGGAATAATGACTCCGTTACATGGCGATGTGCTGACGGAAGATGCTAGAGATAGTCGCTGAAATTTATGCGAATTTGGCCGGATTTCGGAAGGAAACGTGCATGTATAAGCATAAGAGCAGCATTAGGAAAATTACATTCTCAAAATGATTAGCAGATCAAGCAAACGCAAATTGTAGATAAGTACGTACCCAAATGAAGAAATATTAGGGCAATCGGAAAAAGTAAAGAGAATCGAGGGCAAAAATGTTAAGTAATGGCTAAGTGAGAAAAGCGGAACAAATGATACATTAGAAAGAGTTATTGTGCAAATACACAACAAATGCTTACCTCAGCAAAATCAGGTTCGAAGCCAGGATTGCTGTGCATATCAACACGGCGTGAGCTGGATGAACTGGTATTGATAGCAGAGCTTGTGCTTCCGAGAGAAACCGCATTATTGGTGTTTCCAAACGTTGTATTACTGCTAGCCGTACTAATGTTGATAAGATTGTTTCCTCCGAGATTACTAGAAGAAATATGACTATTGGGATTGACAATTACAAGGTTTCGAGCCGCTGAAACCGTATTGATGGGGGCGATATTGGGAGCTGGGCCAGCTATTGAATTAACGGAAGCGATAGGAGTCATGATTGAAACCGGTTGCCGTGGCATTGTTGGTGCATTGACAGCTGAAATCGGGGGATGGTTAGGTTGGGCTGGCTGCTGGATAAAATGGCGCTGTTGGATATGTACTTGTCCTGCCGGTTGAATCAGCGCTTGTTGTGAAAATGAACAATCAGTTGGCTGAACAAAGCGATCACGGGGCTGTTAATAAGAAGAGTATAGCGTTATATTAAAATATAGGAGTTG